GCACTTCATAGCCAGGCTTTGTCGGGGCGGCGACCAGGCCCTAGAGAGAGGCTGGTGCACTGGAGCAGTCATGGTGGTGGTCTGATGTCACGACAGAGCTCTTTCTGGGAGTTTTCCTCTTGTTCTTCATGATTTATTTTTCTAAGGGCTTGTACTTAATGAATATTTTTGGGATGATGTTAACCACACCATAAACTGTTTTATTTGGTGTTGGGAATGCTTGGATGATATTTTATTTTACCGTTAATGAATGATTAAGTATGTTTTTGTTAAGTGTTGTTTTTTTCACTTTTTTAACATTTTGCCTTGACACTGTAAGAGCTTCGAGAGATTGCTTGGTGCCTAGGCGAAACATTTCTAGACCTTGTAAGAGCTTTCGAGAGATTGTTGTTTTTCTAGAAATAGACTCTCAGATTCGAGAGAATTAAGATAGATCTACGTGAGCAATGAAATAGATATGGGATGGTGATGTTCTAACCTGCATGCCTTAGAGATAAGGAGAGGGTTTTAATTGACTAAAAGGGATAGACGCTTGAGTAGGATAAACAACGACTATAGTTCACGCTGAAGGTATTGCCACAACAATAATCTGACAAACTAAGGGTTGTAGCTCACGCCGAGTAGTATTGCTATAGCAATAGTCTAAGAATACTCAGTAATCCTGTCGGGCAGCCTAAGCATAGCATACCAAATCATTCTTAACATGAAATAACTTCTCACCATAGCAAAACCAACCTAAGTGCCCCGTTAGAAGTCTGATTGTGTGAGGTTTCCATTTTTTTATAGAGTTTTGATAACTTTAGCCTTTACAACTTTTATTTGTTTACCTTTGCATATTTTTCTTGTCTCGACCATACTTTTCTTGATATGTTCATACCATTTACCATTGCATATTTTCCTTGTTTGTATCATTAGACTTATATACTTAGGATTAGTTAGTGGAACCTATTCCTAGCTGTAACAATCTTTTAAAAGCCCTACAATCCCTGTGGAGGCGATATTCACTCACTACTATATGACTTGCATCGATTGTGTTACTTGCACAGATTTGCTTGCCTTAGCATATACATTTACAAGAGATCATTATGTAATGGAAATAAAACATGCAAAGCAAAGAAACCAAAAACCAAGTTAGTAAAGTTAAAAATAATTACAAGAAAACAAAAATTCAATAAATCATAAATACAATAAACAAAACATCCAAATAAATCATAAACCTTAACCAGGTGAGTTCTAATTTCCGTAGGTTATCCACATGGCTCTAGTGGGGTAAGCTTACTAAATTCTCGACATGACAGTTCAGTTCTAACAAGGTTCCCTAACTTTCTTTACAACGTGTTAAGGTTAATAGAGACTTCAATTATGTCCTATTACAGACTTGTGAATCAAATTCAGTCTAGAGGATCACACCACTAAATGTGTGCATCGAAACTGATATCTGGATAAACACTTAGGATGCTTTCCAGAGGGACTTAATAGACCTACATGAGGAAGACCAATGTTCTTTGGCGGTGTGGCGTTTCCCCTACTTAAGTGAAATAGGACGAAGCTCGGGTCTAGAGCTATAATATGCATCAGTCCTAAATATATTTAATCAAGTGAAAGCATTAACCAGAGAGAAATCTTTTTCGATTATTGTTAAATAAATAAAATTTAGTATTTATATTTTAAAATATTTATAGTAAGTTATATTGTAATGCTCCAAATCTCGGGTTAGGAGTTTTACGCTAACACGAGACGACCTTGGATAAATCTCTTAGCTTGTATGAAACTTTGACCCAAGATTGAGAGGAGCTGGGCTTGGATTGAGCCCAATAGTTGGTAAAAAGGGTATTTTTTAAGTTGTGACCAAAGTTAGGAGGACCAAAGAGAAAATTATACCATTTTGAATTTAAAAGGTTGAATTCCATTGAATGAGAATGAGGTTATGTTTGAGCATCTCATTTTCTTCACTCTTTTGTCTCATTCTCCTCCCTTAATCCTTCTCATTTTTTCTCTCAACCTAAAATCACCAAAGGTGAAAACTTGGTAGTGTTGTAGGCTTTGAACGAACTAAAGAAGATAAGATCAAAAACTCCATAACTAGAGCTTTCATTTAAGCTCTTAATCTCAAGTTTTGGCCATGGTCCCATGGATGGGGTTTTAAGAAACTCAAGTATTTCAACCCGTTTTTAGTGGATTCAAGCCTTAGAAATTAATCTTAATCTCTTCTCATGCTCCTAAACAAGTAGTAACTCCTTCTTTATCTTTGTTTAGTGAGAGAGGTTGGATAAAACTCCAAAAGCAATGGGAAAGATAAGCTAGCACTTGGTTGAATTTTGAGTTCTTTCCAACAGTTTAGGAGTCCTAGTAACTCACTTCTAACTCAAATCTACCACATATAGATAATTAGGTGAATTTGTTAGCTGCATGAGATATGAAGCATGTTCATGCTAGATTTCAACATTTGATGTTTTTCAGCATGTTAATTATGACCCATTCTATATACATAAATCTTTAATAAGGTTTGGGAACCTCAATAGGACTCTTGGGGGAGCTAGAGTGTCGTTTTAATGCCCAAAATATGGTATTTATGGGAACGAGTATCAGTGATAGAAGAACAATACCGATATTGTTCATCATATAGCCTAAAAACAAGGGTTTGAGATTAGGAGTATCAATACTCGTTTAATGGGTAACAATGCAATTAGTAGAGTATCAATACCCAGGGTGGAGTATCGATATTATGTATAGGTTTCAAATTTCAATACCATTTTTTTGTTTCGATACTCATAGGAGTATCGATACTAAGGTAGAGTACTGATACCCTCAATAGGAGTATCGATATTGAGGTATTTTTTAGAACATCGCAGCCTATTTTGGTATCGGTGCCCAGGGTCGGTATCAATACTACAATTCAGAAATATCAATACTCTAACAAGAACATCGATACTACGTAACTCTCTCAGATTCCAGTAGCCACTTTCAGTATCGATACCAAAGGTGGGTATCGATACTCAGGGGACAATACTACCAAAGGGCTCGGTATCGGTTTCAGTATATATTTTTAGATAAATAATCCAAATAGTTAATGGATTAGACTGAGGGGCCCAATATACCAGAATACATTGTAATAAAACTACAAGTAGAAAAAACAATAAACGTAGTTTAAGTAGAAACAATAATAACTAGGATGACATAAAACTAGCCTTGTTTAATTTCTCGAGAAATGGACAGAACACTAGATTACTTTAGGAGAATACGATCATCTTGTTTGGATATATCCTAGTCAGTGCCAAGCACTTTAGTTGCCAACTGGGCGCAGATGCCCTAACACTCGACGAATTAAGTTAGTCAGGTGTACGTTTTCGAGTCAGTTTTAGATCTCACCCCAAATACCTAAGGATATTTTAGGAAGGCTAGAGGGGTGTGTGCTCCGAGATGCAAAACCCCCAGCCACACCATGATGCCTACCTCAACATTTATATTAACATCCTTATGTCTTCATACCTATGCCACTAGCATCCTCATATAGTGAATGCATGTAGTATATTACAATTATTAGTGTGACACTGACTTCATAAGCTCAGCGTAGGAATGTTTTTCTGTGTGAAGATTTCTAGGAGACCAATCGAGGAGCATTATCATAGCCAACATATTCCAGATCAACCAACGCTTCAGAGTACGTCTTGATTTGAATTAGAGGGCATGTACTATTTATAGACCCATTTGTATTCAATCGTACTCTATTTTGTTAAACTCTGTATTGTTATTGTTTTGGATGTTTTGGGAGCTCCCCGTATTTGTAAACTCTGATTTATTACGCCTTTATTTTATATCATAATTGATGGTTTTAAAAGATGTTTTATGGTAAATTTTAAAAGAAAATTTTTGGGTTAATCATTTCGGTAATCTCGTGTGACACTTCAATCTTTCGATATTCGGGTCAGACTGGATTAGGGTGTTACATTTATAAAATATATTTTTATAGTTTAAATTTATATTATTCATATATATATATATATATAAGTGTAAATATAATTTAAATGTTCTATTTTTAATTTACAATATAACGTCAATAATAGATATTTTATCCTTTTAAATTCATTTTTAAATATAACTCAAACCATTAAATTTTAAACTACACTTGTGTACTACTTTTAAAAGTTCTTTTCTTTGCACTTATAAAAGTCACTTTTTAAAAATATATCAAATCATTTCTAAATATATAAAATTATGAGAGAAGTTAAAGTAAAATTATGGGAGAAGTTAAAGTAAAATTCAAACTCGTAGTTTCCATGTACAAAACATCGGTCACAAGTAGGCCTCATAAGTCATAGTGCTTTCATAAGCAAATCGATGGAAGTTAAAAGAAAGGTAAATTACTTATGTAGTCACCATCTATTATTTAGTTTTTTGTTTGATTATATAACTATTATTTTAAAAAATTATATTTTTAGTATAATTAATAATATAATTAATGGTATTAATCTATTAATCGATAAATTCATATATGGTACTACAGAGGTAAGGACGACCCTCCCAACCTAGTTTGCTCCATCACAATCATCAGGATTCAAACATCTGACCTTGATTAAGTGATCTAATGCTTCATCCTACTATTTCAATTGATTGTTGGTTTTAAAAAAAAATCATACTTAATGTTATATTTTAGTTCTGATTTGGTTATCATCTACTATAAAATATTAACAGTTATATTGATACGGTATGTTTTCAATTATTTTTCAATACTGACATGACATTATCTTATAATACACGTTAACTTCACTGATAGTTTTTTAATGATGGATAATTAAAATAGAAAAAAAATGTAACATTATATGTGATTTAAAAAAATAATAGTTGTATAGTCAAAATGAGAACTAAATAATAGATGGGTGACCAAATTGATAATTTACGCTTTAAAAATTGGGGGAAACAAACGAAACTGAAGTCAACAACAACGTTTCACTGGAGGGAATTCAACAAATTTTTATTCCCATTTTCGTAAACGGTTCTCAAACTCTGCTGCGCTGACAAAAATACAAACAAAAAAACACCCTGCAAACTTCTCCAACACATCATTTTAGTTTGACCCCTCTCTTCTCTCTCTCGCTTCACAATTCATACATTTTATACATCCTTCTTTTGGGGGTGTCTGCCTAAACTTTTCAATCTCAAAACTTCGACTTTTCTTCCACTCCTGTGTTTTCTTTTGAGGTGAGGGGAAGATAAAAGTACTGTGAAATCGAGCTTTGGATATTCCTTTTTTGTTATGTTATGGCGTTAAGATTTGATGCCAGAGATGTTTCGGGTTTCAAAATCATGTTTTCATTGGCGTTTATATATGGTCTCATGTCGATCCTTGTTCACTCCGTGATTTACACCAAGTTCATCACGCCGTTGGGTATCGACGCGCCTCTCGATCGCTTCTCCGAAGCCAGAGCTATCGAGCATGTTCGAGTCTTAGCACATGAAATCGATGGTCGACAAGTGCGTCCTTTTTAAGCTATTATTAATAGTTTATTCTCATTTCTGTTTCTTCTTGAATTCAAATTTTAATTCGTTGATGTTTACTTATACTGAAGGTGGATTCTTGGGATAGTTGAAACGATTTTTTTTTAGTTTATATTGATAAGTCTGGGTTTTCTTTATTCAATAGGAAGGGCGTCAGGGTCTGAGAGAAGCCGCTGAGTATATCAAGGCACAGTTGGAAAGGTTGAAGGAGAAAGCTGGATCAAATTTCAGGTTTTTTTACACTTGTTTTAAGGCTGAATTGTTTAATTTTAAAAATGGGTTTTTGTATTTTTTTTTCATTGATCTTGTTAAAATTTTCTGGCTTAAGCTTCTTTTAAGTTATTAGTTTGCACTTTTTCATTGATTTGTTTAAAGTTTCTGGTTTGACTTGATTTAAGTTCATGAATTTGCAGGATTGAGATTGAAGAGAATGTTGTTTCTGGGTCATTCAATATGATGTTTTTAGGCCACAGTATATCGTTTGGTTACAGAAATCATACCAATATATTGATGAGGTAAATCTCCAGAACTGAATAGGGTTTTCGGAGGATTTATATTGCAGCACTATGCCAATCTATCATGGGAATCATTAGGAAATTTCCTTACCTTCCTTTTGCTTGCATCAATTATTGCTTATCATTGAAGGCATCTATTGCACCAAAGTAGGGGCTACTTTTTCTGATGGGGTCCACTTATATTAACATCCAGGCAGTGATTAATGAAAGAAATAATAGTTGGGAAAATCCATATCATCTTCTGGTGATAATGCTTCTTTCATACATCATAACTGAGCCATAGTTGCAGTTGATTTGATTTTTTTTTTTTTTTGTGAAGTATCCATGTCCTACACTTGTTTTTGCACATGAGTATGGGGATAATGACCTTAGAACCCTCCTAAAATATGGAAAATCAGAAATCAAAACATGCACATGTGCATCTGCCATACATTTTAATGTGCTTACCTCATGAAAAATGAGGGGAGTTATTGATGGTATCCTTTAAGGTATTCTAGAACTGGTGAGTAGAGAGTGTCGCATCTCTTATCATGGAATCAGTGTTGAATGATTCATCAGGCTTTAGATTCTCAAATTTTTGTCTGTCTTATGCTTTAAGAGGCAATAACCATCTTGCATCTTTGTGGTTGAACATAGTGAAGCAGTCTATTTTAGTTGCACCTTTTCTGGAAAATAACTTTGTCTTCTTTATTTCATATAATGACAGGATATCCTCAATAGATTCACAAGAAACCGATCCATCAGTTTTACTGAATGCTCATTTTGATAGTCCACTTGGTTCCCCTGGTGCTGGTGATTGCGGTTCATGTGTTGGTAAGTACATTGAATATTTTTTGGCTTGATTGGTGAAATTACACTGGCTATTTTATTAAGACATCTCCCTGATACTTTGTATTATTGCAGCGTCATTGTTGGAAATTGCAAGACTAACCATAGACTCTGGTTGGGTTCCACCTCGGCCTATAATTTTATTATTCAATGGTGCAGAAGAAGTTTTCTTGTTGGTAAGGAATATATAATGCTTTGTCTTAAAGGACTCTGTTCTTTCAAATGAGATTGCTGCAGTTTTTTTATTTTTAAAACAGAGATCATAAAAATTGAAATAATGTCTCAATTCTTATTTTGGTGGGGAAATGGTGTATGGAACTTTAAACCCTCTCAATAAGAAGTATCGCAAGAAGTTATGTCATGGAGAAAAGGAAAATGTGATCCAAATTGAATATCAAACCACAAGCTGACATTATTTTATTAATTTTGCATGAAGATTCAAATCTTGTTGAATATCCACATACGGACTTATAAGATTGCTTCTTCTGATGTTTTAGGCTGCAAATGGTTTTGTGAGGACTCATAAATGGCGTGATTCCATAGGAGCTTTTATAAATGTGGAAGCCTCTGGATCCGGAGGCATTGGTATGATATAAATCAATGCTTATGTATTTTCTTCCCCTGGGAACATTATCATATTATTTCTGAGAATGACCTGGATCATGATAAATGTTGAAAATTTCTGTATATGGACATCTTTGAAGTTCCATTTTGAATTTTCATGCCTAAGTTACTTATTTGTTGACACTACAGATCTAGTCTGCCAATCTGGGCCTGGTTCTTGGCCTTCTTCCATCTATGCTCAGTCAGCAATTTATCCCATGGCACATAGTGCAGCCCAGGTTTTTATCCTTTTCCAGTTTATATCTATGTTCTGAAAAACATTTATGTTCTGGGAGTACTTCTATGAAAAGTATTTATTTCATTTATAGTTCCTACATGTTTCGTTGTGAAGGTTATCACACTGTAATTTATTCTTGCTGACCCTGAAATTTGTATACTCAGTTTCTGTTCTGCTAATTTTGATGGTGTAACTAAGTCAATTACAAATTATTCATTATTTTTGCAGGATGTTTTCCCTGTTATTCCTGGAGATACAGATTACAGGATGTTTTCTGAAGATTATGGCAATATTCCTGGTCTGGATATTATTTTTCTTCTTGGTGGTTATTATTACCATACTAGCTATGATACAGTGGACAGACTAATGTATGTAATACATCTACTTCTGTGGTACAGAATTCATTTATTGGAAATTTATATATTTTTGTATTAAGCACTTGCCTTCCACTTCCAATGCAGACCAGGTAGCATGCAAGCTCGTGGAGACAATTTGTATAGCACGGTTAAGGGCTTCGCGGAGTCTTCTAAGCTTAAAAATGCTCATGAAAGAGAATCCCTTGGTGTCAATGACAAATACGATCATGGACGAGCTGTTTTCTTTGATTACTTAGCTTGGTTCATTGTAGGTTTTGTATTTGTATAATATGCATTGAAGTTTTTATTCGGGAATGCCCATCATCAATGATGGATATATCAATTTTTTTTTTTTTATTTATGTTTCAGATATTCTACTCAAGAAGGATATCTATGGTACTTCATAGCATTCCCATCATCATCTTTCTCATTATGCCTTTCTTTTCACGTTTTCTGAATTCTGGGTTGCGGGGTTGTTCGGCGACCTTCTATGATTTTGTGAAAGGTAAGTGACCACGTATCTTTCATCCATTTTGTAATTAATTAATAATTTCCTTTAACAAGTTTTTCTTCTCAGTACTTAATGTCATGTTGTAGTTCTCTTCAAGCTGTATTGGACTTACGTAAAATTTTGGCATTTTCTGATTTTGCAGGAATGATCCTCCATACTACTGGAATGATGCTGGCTATAATTTTCCCAGTTATATTTTCTGTCCTGAGATTGCTAGTTTCTAGTTATGGAATGAACTGGTTGGTTGTACATCTTAAGCTAGAAGATGAACGTGAATATTTTCTCGTAGTAGTGGATGAATGATCAAATGTTCAAAATATTAATTGATGTGCTGAAATTGCATGCAGGTTTGCAAATCCTTTCTTGGCTTTCACGATGTTCATTCCCGCTTCACTTGTTGGTCTATTAATTCCAAGGACGGCTTTTCCTGGTTTTCCCCTCTCCCAAAATGCTTCAGCTCTCAAGATGTCGAAAGAGGTAAAACTTTGTAGATTCAAATTTCTTTAATAAATTGACTGAGATCTAGCTTATCCATGTTCTTCTTTTACAAAACTTGTTATTGTGTGATTTCGTTATGTATAAATTATATAACATCTAGCTCAGATCAACATTTAAGTTATTGCAAACATGAATATCACATAATAGCTGAAATACTTCACATATAATTAAGTGGATCTGGAAGACTTGCTGATACACTGAATCTTGCCCCAGCTATGTATAAAATATAATTTATATAATGTCCAGCTCAAATATGTTGGAGGCAACGATTTTAGTTTGTTCGAGTAAAATTGTTTGTGGTTACTGAAGCAGTATATCACTCAATGAATCTTGCAGGTACTATCTGAGGAGGCAAGATTCTGGGGAGCATTTGGATTTTATGCTTCATTAACTTTGGTATGTGACGTGATCATTTTCATTCACAAATTTATATCATAAGTTTTTATTGCATTAATTTTCTGAAATTATATAAACAACCTTGAAATGGCAGGCTTATCTTGTAGCTGGGTTAAGTGGGGGTTTCTTGAGCTTTTTCACATCTGCGTCTATGCTTCTTGCATGGATCTTTTACTTATCAATCAAGTTTGATGGTCATCATTCTGTAAGGTATCATTTCCAGTGAATTTTCAAATTGTATATCTTATTCGTAAGCTATGAGCATATGGTTGTTTTTTTAGTTGTTACCGAGCATTTATTCACCGGAGTCTTCAACCCCTCTTTCTCTCTTTCCTCCATTTCTGGCAAACGATAAAACTGCATACTTCTCATAGCTGCTTGTCCTTTTTGGGTATCTTTCTCTTTGTACCCATTTTTTTTAAAGCGTTTTTAACAATGATAGAAAACATAAATCTATTTTGCTTCAGTATTATGGATCTCTTTTACCTCAAGATTGGTCGATAAGGTTAAGTGGATTTTTGACCCAATGACTTCCACTGATGATATAAAATAAAGTTTTGTTTATGATTCCATTTCTTTGAGCTTCAGATTTAGAGGTTTAACACGGTTTATTTTTATTCCTGAAAGTTCATCTCATCTTCAGAAGTTAATTTCGTCTTTCATTGGCATACTTATTTCTTCAGTCTTAAATTTCTCTGTCAAACTGTTGAACAGTATTAATTAGTAGACTGGTAAAATTGTTTCTTGCAGGTCAACAGTTTTTTATGTCATACCTCTAATTCCGTGCCTTACATACTCTGTTTATTTTGGTGGATTTCTTGTTCAATTTTTTATTGAGAAAATGGGTATGATGGGCTCTCTTCCACCGCCTTATGGTTAGTTCCTCTCCACTTCTATTCTTCATTCATAATGTTGGTTCCATAAAATTCTTATAGCTCTGGCTCTAACTCTTCATTTTCTCGAGGTAGTCATGTTCAATACATATCCAGACATGGGTTTGGAGATATGACTGATGTTTTTTGCCTGCAGGGAATTACATTCCTGATATAGTCGTGGCCGCAATCATTGGTGTTGTTACTAGTTGGTGTGTGGGCCCCCTTATACCTATTTGTGGCAAATGGTTAGCCAGGTCATCCATCTTGAATTTCTTACTACATCTTAGTGTGATTGCTTTGGCTTTGTCATCGCGGTTCTTTCCCTATAGTACAGATGCACCTAAGAGAGTTGTTCTCCAGCATACATTTCTGACTGCAGGTATTTAGAAGTCTACAGTTTCTATTCAGAAGCCTCTTGAAATCTTTATGAGTTACTTTACTTATAAGAGCTTAATTCTTTTAATCAGTCTAGAATTTCAGTTGATGTTTAGAATTGTAATATTTCCCATATTGAAAAGTTTTGATACTGTTAACTCTAGATGGTGTTTTACTTCTGGGCTTGACAGATGCAAATCGGATTGTCGATTCAAGTTATGACTTCTCCGTGGTGGATTCCAACTCTTTGCTGTTTCTTTTTAAACATGCAGCCGAAGTGGCAAAGGAGTTGCACATTGACCCCGAATTTTCTTTTGAAACTGCTCAAATTTCTAACCAACAGACTTTTTTGGTATGTCATTTTTCGTTATCATGCCAATATTTTTATAAATTTCTCTTAACCCACGATAATTTGTCTGTTAGGAAGAGAAAAATAATGGCCTTTACTTTATTTGTTCAATACTTTGTTCTATACTTTGTTGCATGTGCATGCAATGGTTGGTTCCTTATGTCCATCTGCATTAACATAATTGCCTTTCTTCATCTCCCTTTGCTGCTTCATTTCCAGGATTTTTTGTTGTGATATCAATCTTTCTCCGGTCAAACTTTCTGCAAGAAAATTACCTATATATCTGTTTATTTTTTACCTCAACCAAAAGACTGCTACAAATTTTTTTGACAAATTATCGAAAGGCTCTTTAGGGCTTAATTTGCCGAATGTATGTCTACAACAATGTCGACTTTCATTTCATAGAAGTATTCTTTGTTTGGTTTTCATTTCATAATTTTATGTGTCCCTCATACTAGGATCACTTTCAGTCTGAAGTATCTGTCTGTTTAGACATAGACTGCTATTAATGTAGAGAACACATCATCTGTGCATATGACGAATGAAAATTTTATTTCTTGGCAGACACTTTTTCCGGTCAACTTTATGTTTTCAAGAAGTTTGAAGTTCCCTGCAAGCACTGATGGAATTTTGAAGCAATATACACAGTTTCCTCATTTGTATACTAATAAGCCACAATCGACATCTCGTGATGGCTCTCGGAGAGTGTATTTGGAACTTTCATTAGGGTGAGTCGAGACTTTCAGACTCCGCGGACTGTCCTTGGTTTTAACATAATGCGGATTCTTAAATTTTACAGACATTACTTGTTCCTTCCTTTTTCAACATTTTCATATTTGCAGTTCCTTAAAGGAGGTTTGGGTTGCTGTTCTTAACATTACTGGTCCTTTATCCAATTGGTCATTTGCTGACAATAAGCTACCAGGTTAGATCAACATTTTTTGTTCTTCCCCTTTCTCTTTTACTATTGCATTGAAGTTTAATCCTATTCCGTGTTTCATTGTACCGATAAATTTTGCAGCCCCGGAAACCGCCGAAGGCGGTCCACCATCGTACATATGTAGACTTACTGGAGCTAGTAATGAAAAATGGAACTTATGGTTAGAGGTACAATTCTATTTTATAAATTCTACATTGAAGTTTATCCTCCCCAAGCAACTAAAACAAACTTGGCTTAAAATATGAAAATGAAAATCCTAAACTACTTCACTTCAAGTAAGCCCTTTTCTGTGTTGTAAGAACCGATTATCTGGTTCTATCGGCTGAACCGGAAACTGGAGGTTTGATCGATTCAACTTCCTGTCCGGTTTTTAAGCCCGTTTTAACCGAGGGACTCCAGCTTCCCTACATGTAAATGTTCCATGCCAAACTTGTTTAATGTTGATTTTCAGGCCAGCAACACTGGAGATTTAAGGGTGGATTTGGCAGTGCTTGACCAAGTTTTGGTCGATGAAGCAAAGAAGTTGAAAGGGCTTTTCCCACCTTGGGCGGATGTTACTGCTTTTTCTAGTTTCATGTCTACCTATGTCTTTTAGTGATTATATCAACCCATTCTGTGTTATCTGAGGACACGTGTCGGATACGGGTTTATTTGATATTTTTTAATTTTATAATATAATTTTTCCATACTTTTTTCCTTTCTTTTTCATTCTAATGTTGTAAACTTCATAATGTAATGATAAGTTATCTTGGAAAAATTATTATGGTTATGTTTGTGAGTTTGAATTCCTTGTTAGAGGCCTTATTTAATGATTCCATTTATTTATCCCTCAAGCTTTGTTCGGGGATAATAGCATAAAAGATGCTTCTACTTTAACCGAGTTTTCAATATGGTACCTTTAATTTTAAAATACTGATTTTGGTATCTGAAGTATTATTTCATCTGTTAACCTATAACATGTGATACTTGTTTTCATTTTTACTAATTTTGTATATATATATATTTTCAAACATTGCACATTTGGTATCGATCAAGTATCAAATGTGTAATTCTAGGTATTAAAAAGAGTACAAGTTCCACATTTATAAAAGTGACAAATTTATCTATCAAATTGATTGAAAAAATGCATGGTGTGTATATACACAATACGAGTTCCAATATTCTTTGATATGCATATGCATTAAACTAGTTTTTCAATGTCTGCTTTATTTTATCACGACTAACATCATGAGTTTGACTTCTTTTTAATATGACAAATACGAGACATGAGAAACTCGTTGGTTTATATTGTTCTTACTTCGCTTAGGGCATCTCCAGTTTGGCGGAGATCTCCACTTTGGAGATGATATCAGTGGTCCAGCCCATCGCGAATTTGCAGCTATATTGTGGCGATCTGCTATAGTGAACGCCACAATTGACGTTGCATTGTAGCTACGCTACATTATTTATTTATTTATTTGTAATTTTTTTTATTTTTTTATAAATTTAAGTAGATTAAATTGCGAGATAGATAAAAATACATTGAAATTAGATAAATAAACATACTAATTTTTTGAAACTTAAAAATTACAACAAACATAAAAACATAGAAAATACTAATAAAACTCAAACAACATTTTAACCAACAACCCAAATACACAATTTAACTAATAATCAGACAGACTCTCTCCACTCCCCTCCAAGATCATCAAAGTTCATTCCAAATACATTAAAAGTAGTTGAGAATGATTATTCTTCTTCTTTTCGTTTCCGAAGAATTTTTTGTTGTTCGTTTCGAAAATAGTGGAGTCGGTCGGGGTTAGGAATGCACTAATTGAGCATTTGTGGAATGAATATTCCAATTTGGAGAATTAAAATATATAATTATGTAACTTATGTTTTTTCGCATTATTATTATGAATTGTAATTTTCTTATTTATTTGTATTTTCGCAATGTTATTTATGAATGTTTTATTTATGCTTTTTATCTTGATATTTATTAAAAATGTATATGTTTTATTTTATATTTGTAAAATCAATATTATAATAGTTAAATAATGTAAATAAAGTAGAGTTTGTGGTAATGTAGAGATAGTGCTGAAGATGAATTATTATTTTATCTTTAGAGTAGAGATAGAGATGTTGTAGAGTAGAGATAGAGATGTTGTAGAGTAGAGATGAGGGCTAGAGATGGCCTTACATGATGTGTAAATTTAGAGCATACAACATATACTTCAAGAGGTATAACATCCACCGTATGATTCGATTATAACAATTGAGTGGTTTCAGATGTTTCTTGGTCCCTCAGCGAAAACTTAAAAAAATAGACCAGTATAAAACGAAAGTATATTGTATTACTTTGAACAATCAATTTAATATTTCACGAATAAATCACATAAACATGATTAAATTTTGTCAAACGAATTATTTTCATTGTTTTGTTAAAAAAAATAAAGGACAGTCACAAACATATAAAACTATCACTTGAAAATCTCATTCTATGAGTATTCTTTGAAACAAATTCATCATTTAAATCCTCGTAAACAATTTTATCCAAAATTTCATTCACAATTGCCACTAATGTTATCACATTAGACCTTTCTTGTGACATAGAACTAGACAAATAAATTGGAAAATTGAGAATTTTATAGGATTAAAAGAGTTGTGAGATACGGAGGCAATGAAACTATAAAAAAGAAAAGTGAGGATTGTGATTCTCCATATACAAAATGGAGTAAGTGATTGTAGTGGTGGTCCACATTGTGGGTGGTATGGGAAGTGATTAATATTTGATGGATTAATGAATGATTCATATCGCAAGTGATTCGGAGAGCTATTGAAATTATATGTGAAAACATATAGAGTGAGAGTTCTCGGTTCTTGCCGCTATCACGTCTTCTTTTTCCAACTCTTCAATACCCTACCTCTTAGGTACATGTGGTAGAATTGTGAGTCATTACAGTTGAAAAAAATAATATGAATAAATTAATCGAGGCGGAGTTGATTCTAAAAAATGATGAAATATCTTTATATTTGTTCTCATATATATTTCATGGATCTTCATTGGACACAAAACTATCTTATTAATTGTCTTCATTATTGACTTTTTAAAATCAAATTTTTAAATTTTAACTTTGATTATTTTAAATATTTTCAAAAATTAAATTTTATAAAATATACATTTAAAAACCACTTGATTTAAAATTTTAAAAAAAAATTATCAATAATAAATTTTAAACAATAATGAATCAACATTAAAAAAATTTGATCAAAAAAATCAATAATAGGCAGATTTAATGGTACATGGAGAATTTTATTTTTAAAGATAATTTTAAAATATCTCTTCATCCGAGTTTAATATATTTTTAAAAAGTATTATTTTACATGTAATAAAAAAATTTAAATAATTTCTAGGGTTAACACTAAACAAATTCCATGATTACCGCGAGGGGGACAATTAGATTGAAGTTTTGATTGATTAAATAGGGGCTGAAATAGAGACTCTCCATGTACTTAGAGACGGGAGAATGGGATTTTGTAAAGAATGTGGCGTGAATTGCTCCTCTCATTGGATATGTCTCGCTCACAATAATTATTTTATGTGTATAATATGTACTTAAAATACTTTTTTGTCAAAATAAATATTAAAAATATGATATGTGTCATTAATTAAAAAATAATTTAAATAAGAAAATAAGAAAAATAGCATACCTTAAATATCTATTTCGATAAAAAAAATAATTAAAATATATATTTTAACTAAAGTAATAACTTTAAATTATTTATTTTAAATCGAAAATAATTTAAATACTTAAATAAAGAATATTATTTACTTTAAATATTTATTCTCGATATAAACAAAAATTACAAATAAGAATTTCTTAAATGTCCGGAATTAACTGATCGATAAAAATATCAATTGATCCGTTGAAATTAATGGTACAAAAATACCCACGTGGATGGCTTTGTTGACATTCCCGCCAACCCGTGCCTCCCAATATTGTTTTACTTTTAAAATAATAATTAAATTTTTATATTTACACATGTTTATTTTTCCTCACGGTTTGTCTCTCAATAATTCGGGTCGTATATTTAGTTTTGATAGGTAAATTTCTAGAGATTTTATGTATACTTAAGAGTTAATTGGGATTTACATTAGATTGTACACTAAAAGTGATAGTGATAAGATTTGACATTGATCTTACAAGCTAAAATTCTTGAATATTAACCACTTGTATTAACTCTAGTTGGATGTTTAATCTTATTATTATTAATTTATAACGATATTTATATAATTAATACTAATTAGGAAAACGGTGATCTAATGATGTGGTTTTTATAAGAAAAATCCAAACCATTGATGTAATTTTATGAGAGTGATTAATTAGCTATAAATAACTTTTGATAATTAAGGTGCATTTTAGTGTTTGACTTGTGTCGTTTACGAGAAAACTAAGGACAATTGAGTCATTTGATAGCATTTCAGGGTCATCTGCTAAACGACAAATGAAGAGGTCGGCAAATGTCGGCCGGCAAATCAGGGGGACATAGACAGAAATTCAAACCACAATTATTTAAATATTAAAGACTAATACCAATTTTAGGTTAAAATAGGGTAAACTACACACTTAGTATCTCAACTATCATTTTTATTCTTTTTTATCACTCAACTATTTGTTTTTCAAATCATATCTAATGTCATGTTTTGATTTTATTTTATTCAACACCTGTTAAAAATTAACATAATTGTTGATGTGATATTTTTTTTTTCAACGATGATATGATATTATATTATGGTAACATGTCAGCATCATTGTGTAACCACCCAACTATAATCTCTTTTCATTTTGATTACCATTTTTAAATTTTTGTCAAACATACTACCCAATTATTTAAATGAATTCAATCAGGATCCTTAATATTTATACATTATTTCAATTTGGTCATAATTTGATGACATATGTCACTACTAGATTAGAAGATATTTTATTAATTTTAATTATTAATTTTATTTTATTTTGCATCCAATTAGGTGACGACACATGTCACCACCTTATTTGATGCAAAATTATGTAAAGAAATAAAATAAACTTTGAGGAAATCGAACAAGTGACTTAATTTTCTTATTAGCACCGCTTGACCCAGTAGGCTAAGCCCTTCAATTGGCAATATGTTGCAGCATTATATATTAAGTTTTGAATTGAAAGAAGTTGGAAGGAAAAAAATGCATTAGCAAGGGATTGATCTCGAGTGAGTAAATAGGCGTACACCAACAACCAAACTAAGACTAATATTAGCCATAGAAAATATATTTAACTTGTATTATAACGAAAACATTAATATGGATTTATCATCAAAACTTTTTAAGCAAATTTAATTAATGGTTTAAAACTATATAAATTTTATATTTTTTAAAATATAATTAATCTAATATTTAAAATAATAATAAATTCAATATGTCTTAAAACTAATTTTATCGAAGTTTGAATTCATATTTTAAATTATATTTTTATATAATCAAAGTATAATTTTAATTTATTTAACATAATTAATAATGTTTATATATAGATTTTTTATATATAATTATAAAAATTATTAATTGTATTAAAAATAATTTAATGTTTATATATATAAATTATATAAAAAATAAATATAATTTAAAATATAAAAATATAAATTTTACTTTCAAAAAACATGTCCTATTTTTCCTCTGCCATTAGTTATAATAAATTATATACATAATGTAGTGGTTTATTACTAATTGAAGGCCTTAGCTCGGCAGAATTGGGA